TGCAGACTTGACCGAGAACGAGAAGCCCTGGCGCAAACCCGGTACCGATATCAGCGACTACTTCAATTACGGCTTCGACGAGTTCACGTGGGCACTCTACGCTGCCAAGCAGGAAGCCGTTCGCGGAGAGTTCAGCGGCGACGCCATTGCCGCCGGCCAGAAGAAGATGATGGAGGACTTTGGCATGATGATGATGGGCGGAATGAACATGCCCGGCGGAGGTGCCGCGCCTGGCGCCAACGCGCAGGCTGGAGGCATGCCCGGAATGGGTGGCATGGACGGTATGCCGCCCGAGATGCAGGCCATGATGCAGCAGATGATGGGTCAGGGCATGGATCCCAGCCAGATGGACCCCTCGCAAATGTCGGCCATGTTCAATGGCATGCAGGGCCAGGCTGGCAACGCTGGTCAAGGCGGACAGGGACAGAACTTCAACCAGGGCTTTGGCGGAAACCAAGGACAGTACGGAGGCTACGACCAGCAGGGCATGGGAGGCGGCAACCGCGGCGGATTCGGCCGAGGCCGTGGCGGACGCCGCCAGTGGTAGTCACCCCCTGCGTTCCGTGTATGTTTACAAAGATGTGCTGGTTATGTATGTCCAGCCCGGCCGGCGTTTTGGGAATTCGGTGGTGAGGTCACACATGGTTTGCTGAGGAAAGTTCCGAAAACGGGTCGCGGAACGGCAAAAGCAGGCATAGATACCCTGACAAGTCATCTGGCATTTCTCTCGAGATTCTTGCTTCTATCTGTGTACACAAAGTGATTTGTCCCCATCCGTACAACAGAGCTTGTTTGCCCTGTCCCTAAATCTGCTTGAATTTGCTTCTAGTAAAGCTTGAGCAGTTTTGTAAGGAATGATTCTCATGAAGGCTTTCTCAATCGACCTCTCCGACCGACACCTCAAAATACATCGGCAGTGATCTCTTTGCCGGTAGCGATGGCCAGCTCAGACCTGTTGACGTAGTGCCGGTTCGCGTAGTCGTCCGCGGCATCCAAGTTGATGCACGTGTGCGATGACACGATGTCCACGTCGGCGCCGCCCCGGGTCTCGTTGAAGGAGTACGTGTTGAAAGCGAGGTTGGCGTTGCAGAGAATGTACTGCTTCAGGAAGTCCGCGCAGTGATCTATCAGACTTTGTTAGCTACGTGTCTCTTATCACAGAAGTGGGAATTTCGACATACTAATGTGTGCGTGTTGCCACTTTGGGTCGTTCTTCATCTTCATGTGATCTTCTTTGTAGTACTCGGGATAGGTTTGCTTCCACATGAGGTGCTTGGGCTCCCGTCAGTCATGTTCACCGAGCACTTGAGAGGGATGGAGTTCAGAATACTTACTACGCAGTGCAAGGCGTGAACATACTCAAACACGGCCAGAGTACCGTCTTGAGCAGAGGTCGAAGCCCGGAGGGGCTCTCTAGTTCTGAACTCGGATTTGGGAAAGTCCTCGTCGGGGATGAGCATGAAATGACCTAAAAGGTTGAGTCAGTCTTGCCGTAGTGAGAAAGGAAAGCGGCCACTTACGCTCGTCGATGAGCTTGTCCCAAGCAGCATCTAGCTCCGGAGACGGACCTGAGGTATCGGCCTCCTTGAACATCGTCGGACCTCTGATCTCTTCGAGATGACCCACATCTGGAGCTTGCATGTTAGTACCGCACTCATGACTTTGCTGAAATATTTCGTACTTGTTCGTTGGTTGTGGGAGTGTTTGCTCTGGCGGAAGTGATGAACACCGGTAGCGGAGAGAAGAGCCACGGAGATCAAGAAAAGAAGCACCTGAGATACGCTGGGTGACCAGGAACGACGACGCGGACTCGGTTCCCGACTCTGTTTCAACTCTTCATCTTGCAGATGAGCATACGCGGATTTCTCGACAGGGCGGACGAAGCCGGCCATACGGTCAAGACCCTTCGGTTGCATTGCGGACAGCTAGATCTCTGGATTCAATTGAGACGCTCTAATGAGGGAAGTCGGTGTATGGCTTCGCAGAGGAAAGTTTGTACAATAAGAGAATCTAAATTCGTTAAAGAAACCGGGCACTCGGAAATCGTTGGTGCGATAACATCCACTTTCATACATGCATCTGTGAGGGCCCTTTTTAAACGAAGGGGCAAAGTCCGGCGCGGCGGTCGAGTTGACTCTGCCGATTCTTGATAACGGTCTTGTTTGCTCATTCTCGTCGATCGTGACGACGAAGGAAACTCCTGAAACCCACATCGCTATCATGTTTGCTCCCCGCCTTGGAACTCCTTGGAAGCTATTCGTAAGCGATTATCACGACTTTTGCCCCTTGGCAGATCCCGCCATCGTCACCACCACAGCAAAAAGCGGCGGTAAACGCGGACATCTTTCTAAATCTGACGATAATTCTGGCCTCTCCGAACACTTTTTAGGCTTGGTGTTATCCGGGGTGTAATTCCTTCAGCAAATGTTTGTGAGCTGTGATTGGCTTGTTGGAAGTGTTCGTCCGTTGGTTGTTAATTGATGATGACACGTCCTGGTCTTGGACCCTTGCCCCGGCGTTCCGGTGCCGGGACTTGGATGGGGTTGTAGGAGATAAGTATGTGGGTTTCGTGATGTCTGCGCCGCTGGCCATGGAGGGGTTGAGCAAACATCACGACGACAATGCGGTCCATTGACGTGTCCGGGATTGAAGGTGTGAGGGGTATCTGTGACGATTTAACCCGGACGAGACGGGGACTCGTGGAAGAGTCCGCAGGCCTCGGAGGATTCGGTGACACATACTCAAGTATCGGCTCGGAGGCAGTTTGCTTTTCAGATGCCAATGGCATGAATGCAGTTGGATGCATGTGGTGCTTGAGATGGTGTTAGAGATGGTTCTTCTTACCTTGCATTATATCACCTATTTTGACATGCAGGTTTGCCGTTGATAGCTGGTCGCAAGTGACAAGTGATGAATGAAGCTGGCAGACTCATCGTCTAGCACAATGAGGAGGACCTCACGTTGCCCGCGGCCATCGTTCAAGTCGTTTGAGTCTAGATCAACTGAGATTTCTCGTGTCGTCACTCTTCCCGAGTCTCTCTCCTTCGCAAGAGCTTCGCCAACATACTCATGACAGTACGCAAAACTTCAATCCCAAGACAACTTCAAAATTGTTTTACTCTCACCTTTTAGTTTTCTCACAGTTGCGGAAAGAGCCATTGCAATGGATCGACACTCATCTGATACTGGCGCCAAGCTGCTGGTCGCAGAGGTGAACTACTTGGAGCATGATACACTCTGCAGCCGCTGTGAGAAGTCCATCACGGGAGAAACCTCTTCGGGTTCCCGGTACCTGAAGCTGCTCTTAGTCTTTCTCCTATGCCAGGTCCCCATCCTGGGGCTGAACTTCCTTGCATTCCATGCCTTCCAGAGGAACAATAATGCCACGATCCAAGGCATCGACCAGCAGGACTGTAAGAAGCTTCTTATGGATGCATCTGGTTCAATCATCACAAGTTAACTCTTGCACCTAAAGACTTTACTCTCGAGAGCTACAACTCCACCGGGAGGCTCTACGACATTGTAGATGCTGCTGATAGGTCACCGGAAGCAGACGCATTCTGGCATGAGCTACAGAAGAGTAGACATCCTATTGTCCTTGACGTAGTTGACATGCTCATAGCTGACAATCAACAGCCGATGGCATAGTCGCGGTCCGTGGCGAATGGGCGAAAGAAAAAGCCCTGCCTGACACAGTCTCTCACCCTGACGACCCGGCTTCCAAGATCTATCAAATCAACGTCTTTCACGCACTGCACTGCCTGGTACGTTCAGAGACCTAGAACTCTCGGTTGCTTGTTACTAACGTAAGCAGTACCGCATCAGGAACAGACTAACATCGAACATACCACTCGAGAAGTGGCCGCGCAACGATATCCACACCATGCACTGCGTAGACCATATCCGGGACGACTTGATGTGCCACGCCGACATCTCGCTCTCGGGATCAGACGAGTACGTCTCTTTCAACTCCCATGGCTACAATCAGAAGTGCAGAGACTTGGGTGCTCTGCAAAGGTGGGCGAAACGACACAGCTGGGCCGGGTATGAGGATTACCTGGAAGGCGTTATTGGATATGATTTCAATGAGGCGGAGCGGGTGAATATGGCTACGGCTGGGAACGGGCACTGGAACAAGGCACAGAGCACGCTAGATAAGGATACTGGGAAGATTGAGCTTTGGTTTGAAGAGGACTGAGTCAATAAAAGTTCCACAAGTACTATCCCCGCAGCACGTACTCTAGCTATGGAATGTTTACATCCAAGCAGGCATCAGGTTATCACATTCTTGTATGCTCAGAAGCTTCCAAGATCCTTGAGCTGTAGGAGATTCCTTTGGTAAAGGTCTTCATGGTAACTTTGGGTGATTTTATAGTTTAACGTGAACCAATGTCGGTTGATTGACCTATATTCCTCAAGGCCTTGGAATAGTATGGATTCGGAAGGTTGCAGGTAGCAGACCTGAACCGCGTCTTTCAGCCAGGTCCATGGGCCTGCGAGGACTGTGCTGCCCCCATCTTCTTTGTAACGAGGAAACGCCAAGTCTCGGCCTGAACATGCAAAGGGAGGTCAAAGAACACCTGAGCTAGTATCCTTATCGAATACCCAAGGCTCGTGTAGGGATACTATCCTCCTGGTGAAGGTACATGGACAATTGGATACGGCAGTTGTGCAGAAGAAACACATCACATTCTGAGACCCTTGAAAGACAACGCAGGACCCGAAAGACTTCAAAGATCGATTTGCTTAATTTGTGCTACGAAGACAGTGCTATCGTCATTCGTCGTTCCTGCCTTGTGCATTGACAAATTCCTTGCCCTTGACTAGTCGGCATCTAATGTTATGCGTTCTAGAAGTGAGCAAGTAACCCGTCAAATGCATGTCGCTGACTGACTCCTATAGCTTCATGAACTAAGATAGGTAATTGCTAGTCAGATGCCGCTGAAACCGTTAAAGACAAGATAACCGAAACACAGCCATACTTTCAAGCTTTTTGTGAATCAGAAGCATTCAACACAAGCAGTCGAGGCGTCTGTCGTAGCATCTTCAACCGGGCCCTCGTCGCCGAATGAGGCAATGGAAGGGCTCGCGTAGATGAACCTGGGTTCGAGGTCTGCCTTGGGCTGGACTGGAGCAGCGAGAATAGATGCCATGATGGCGGCGATAGGAAGGAAGACTCTAGCAAAGAACATTTTGAGGCTGCTGATTGAGGATATGGGCCTTGATTTTGATGGTGCTTAGATGAAGAAGTCGCTGATTGTATCCCTGGACGAGGGAGAGTCATGCCTCTTTTAAGCCTTGAACCGATAGGTTTGAACAATGTTCTCAAATATCATTGAAAAGTCAGGGAGTCTTTCGATGAGCATAGTGCGGCACGAGTCTCATCCTTTCCTCGGGTGGGAAACACCAACAGCACCGTCGGTCTTTGGGGGTTGGGGTCTAAGGAGATAAGCGCCAATGTGATATGTGTGATGTCTGTGGTTTCCAAAGCAAACCGCATGGTGTTGACTGGACGGGCTTTGTTCTGCAAGATCCATGTGCAGTCACATAGTGTTGGATCGGACTAGTATTGACACGTTTGGCGCCCGTCCTTCTCCGCCTGACGCCGGGACCACGAGTTCATCCAACGGTCTTACTCACCAACGGGTAAAGGACAAGGAAAGCTAGACAAATGATACCAAATATAAAAGGACATGTTCACGCGTTGGCTCGATAGTTTCAATCTGTGTGCGGGCGTTTCCTCTAGGGGGGCCGGGTGGGTGGCCCTATTCACATTGGGGGGGGGGGGGGGGGGGGGGGGGACGCCAACAGCTGCGTCAACCAACATGCATACCAGAAACGCCATCAACAGTCGCCAAGCTCAGGATAACTTTGAATGCGGAAAGTACCTCCTAGTATTAGCAATAACTAGAGGAGACTTTTTGATACAATTGATTAGGAAGCTTCACCTGCCATCGTCGTGCCTGCCTTTGACCAGTCAAACCCATGTTTGTTTGTGCCAAGAAAATGGCTTTACGCCAGAAAACGAAGCAACCAAAAACCGTTGAGTTTCAAGACAAACATGATATTTGATAGTTGATATCTTGGAGAATTGTGAAGACGGGCGGCAATACGGGAAAGGAAGGTGGCAGAATGTTCCCATCTCAACTTCCCTGTGCTTGCCTCGAGACCTCGCCCCTTACAATCTCGTTCGAGATCTTTCTTCCTCTTCCCGCAATTTATTCTCTATATCTCACCTTTCGAAGGCTTCCAAGTAACTTAGATCTAAGGTGCATCAAAGAAAGGTCCTTTTGACCCCGAAATCTCAGTCGCCAACGCATCACTCATCGATTCTTTTCATGACGAACTTTCAAGGTGACCCCGAGGCTGACGTTCTTCTCAGCAAGGAACACAGTCGGGTCCAAATTGAATGTTCGGTGGACCGATGTCGATGCCACCTTTCAAGATTTCTTTGCTGGTCCGCTTTGATCACCCTCCTGCTGTTCGCACTCGGCGCTTTCAGCCATGAATACTCTTTGTTGAGCATCGAACCCTCTCCACACACAGTTCCAATACACACCTGTGGCTCTACGGTCCCCGAAGCAAAGGCGAATGGCTGCGTTTTTGACGTCATGGCGTATGGCTGGGTTCCATCTCAGTGCTATAACGGCGATCTCGTCAGCACGTATAACGCATATAATATGAGCCCTTGGGCATTCGACAAGAACCTCACCAAGCCAGCGTCCGAACAAGTGCTTATGGCTGGAGAGAGGAGAATTCTCTACACGAACTTACGATTCCACCAAGAGTACTGTTTCTACACATGGCATAATCTGCTCCACAGCGTCGAGCATCAACGACCGCTAATACACAACTTGTCGGCGTCAACCGAACACCGGCACCACTGCAAGGGACTATTTCTGCACGGGGAAGCGCCAACGGGCCCTGTAGTGCCAGCATTCTTTCATTGCGTGGATATGGAAGAGCCGTTCTTGCTTCGAGAACACATGTATGAGTAGGAGTGAGGTTACGGACCGGAAAGTCTGTCCCATGACAACAGGTTCTCCATGTTAATTTGAATTTCGGGTGGCTGAGGCTTGTATTGGAATGAACACAAGTCACCTGCACGTCTTTTTACGGGTGGTGATATGGATATCTACGCACCATCCGTCTTGCGGCCAGCTAAGAGACGCGTCAGGAAGCTTGGTCTGATGATTGTCTTCCCGAGTCAGAGGCACACAACTGGACATCAACACCAACTCAAATCTGTATCTGATGGAAAAGCTCAGCTCTGCAACCAGTGCATGATTACGAAGCTGCCATCGACAACTCAATTGCTTAGATAACAAATATGGCTGTGGAAAGCTTTACGCAAACCACTTCTCTCGGCAAGCTGCCTGGGAAGTCGTCTGCCAAGCTTTTTCGTCTTCTGTCCCTTGCCTGACTTTAAGTCGTTTTTATTCCTGACCGTGTCTTTCCGCTGCATGCGAGATATCTGCCGCCAAACAAGAAGAAACAGTCACTAAGAAGCATGTCTAAGATTGCTCCCACCAATCTGGGACCGTCAGTGGATCACTCTAGGAGAGTTCTTCAACCGAGATCATATGCATAGGAGATTTGCAGCATTTGCGAGGGGCGCCAAGCGTTACCGGAATCGATTCAGATGGAACTAAGCTTCTCTAATTAGCACCTCCGACCATTGTGTCGAGATATTTTACGGCATACACTGGCTGAACACGATGTGCGAATAACTTTTATGCTTCATGTTGACTACAATGCCCGCCGAATCTAGTGCCTACAGTTTCCACCTCTCGGCTGTCTTTCGTAAGGTCTGCTTAACAATAGATTTCGCAGCGTGATTTTCCTTTTCAATATGATAATTCTTGCCATATGAAGAAGCCCTTCTCAAACATCTGACAAGCTCAGAGCAACGAGGCGTGTTTGGCGGGCAAGTTTCCAAGGCAGACAGACAGTTGTTTATTGACAACTGCCAGTGTGCCTCAACTTGTTGCAGATCACCCTACAGTGCAGAAAGTCTGCTTTCATTAAGCCTAGTGTTGAAGAGCAAATGCCTCTCCAGCACCCTCACGCCGAGATATCAAGAGCCCCTCAGAGGCGAAGAAATCTATATGAGGCTCCTTTCCCCCCTCAACTCCCTTGCTTCCCCAACGCGGCGTGGCGCGAGATGCCAGTCATGATGTAGTGAGATCATTCGACATTATGCTTAATGCTATCGAACCTCGTGCCCTTCGGCGACGAATTTCTCTGGATGCCTCCTTTTTATACTCTGTATTCACAACCCGCAACATGGCCATTCATAAGAGAGGGAAGCGTATCTCTTCCTCTGGCCGGCCAGCCAGTCTCCCTGGGAGTGTGACGGTCCTTCCATTGCTATGAGCCAGCTTAGCTCTCATAGACGAGTTCCTACCGCCTGAAACGCTCACAACTATCTTCAGCTTCTTTTTATTCCCTCGAGACTCGCCGGCAAGGGTGGGGCGATCTTCTCTAATTTCCTATCTGGGAGCAGTAGAGCTTCACATTCGTTCATCCCATATCTTCAAGGAGGTTATTTGCGGTAGTTGACGACCTGATAGAGCTCGGGCCAAGGCGAAGGTAGGCTAGACCCACAATCGCCGGGCCCTAGTAGAGCATCAGACGAACGTGAAGCTATTCCCAGCGATTCACTTGAAGCCGCTCTGGGGCGGTCTCCTTTCTTCTACTAACCCTTAAAAAGAGGGCTTCACTATGATGGATTTTTACTTCTCCATCTCTCTCTATTTGCGCACCGCAGACTTCCGCGAGATATCGACAATCCCGCGACCCTGATACTCTTTCGACCCTGTCTCCATACCAAACCGATCCCTTTTGGTATTTACTTCATCCACGGTAAGTCAACATACCCACTTCCTGGCACCCCCCTGTTTCTGGCACCCACAAAAACGCGAAAATCCACCACAACCCAATGCCCACCCCCAACCTCCTTTTATCACAACATTTTCAATTCGCGTCCAAATGGGCTCATCTTTTGCACATGTCTTCTTCTATATATAATGCCTCAATATACCGAAGATCAGCTTCGTCAGGCTCTCGAGGA